AGCAGCAGTAGAGTACTTGTAGTAGCAGCAGCAGTCAACCCCTCCCAGGAAGGGGTTGGTGATGGGTGGAAGTGAATGTGTCTGCACGCTTGCGGCACTTGCTTCGGTGTCAATGTGTCATGAGCTGTGAGCTGGCGAGGAATCTGTCAGTTGAGATGCTGGCTGATCTTGGTTGTAGAACGATAGCGGGAGTTGTTTTTCCTTGCTAGATGCGTGCATGGTGCTGAAAGCTTCACGTAAGGCACGCAGCTGATGCTGTGTGTCTAGGTTGCCCGAGCTGCAGGCTGTGGGGAGCTTTCCTTAGTCCCTAAGTGCCCAGCGAGACTGCGGCTGCATTTTGGTGATGGTGTTGTAGGTGTTGCGGTGGTGAGTGAGTGGTGGAAGGATTCAACAATTGAATAATTGCCAGTTGATTTCAAGTGAAATGATGCCCCCGGACTCATGAAAGCAGCAGGCCAACCGTACCCAAGAGCCAACCTCCTTCCTCGCCCTGACAGTCGTCGCGAAGGAACTGCTCTCTCGAAAGCGTCGTTTGCTTGTACATGCTCCAAAATGCTGTGGGCAATAGCTCCATGCAAAATCTGGAACAAAGTGGTTTGCAATTGTCTCAGAGCAGCCAAGCTCTGGTTTTTCCAGGTTGGACGGTAAATATCTCCGGGTCTGTGACCGTTGCTGTGATGGCAGTGTGGTATTGTACAGGACAGTACCACATCAGCCTGTTGCGAAGTGGTCCTCACAGTGAATGACGCCGGTTGGTGTGCTGTGAACGGCGTTCTTGACCATGCGGATGTTGAGGCGCTGGTGTTGGTGTTCCAGTAGGAAACGGAAGCTCGGCTCGAACTACATTGTTCGTTATGCCTGGTCGCGATTATCCGCGCGACCTTGTCCATCATGTACTCACGCCTCATTTTTTTGATTTGTTCGCTGATTTGCTTGCTTAGCAGCCCGATCCCAGGCAAAACCCATCCTTCAAGGTGGACCCCCAGCTGCCACACCGAACCCACAGAACATTCACATCAAGATACATAAACTGTTGCACCCAGACAGTCGGTGAAGCGGCCGCCTGCGATCTCAACCGATTTCAAGCCATGGCCGTTGCAGCCAAACTCTTGTTTCCAACAAGGATTCGCGCACCAACGCACAGAGGAACCCAATGGTAAGTTTTGGAGAGAGTGGCAAGAAACCTTGATGTGAGTTTGCTATCAAATTGGGCTAAGCTCCCATGGGTGGTCAAAACTGCAAGCACTGTCAGGAGAGGCTCCACGGATTGATTAACCAGGCTCCGGTCATGCTCTTCATGAAGGTCGGACCCTGCATAAATCCCTCGACGGGCTCCAACATGAGGGCTAAGATTTTCTCGATCATGTGCTAGCTGGGTTGTGCGTGGTTAGGCCACTGCTGCAAAGTATCTTCACTTCGAAGGTATTGGTTGTTGAGTCAAGTTCCATCCCTAAAAACTGTTCTTGCAATGCTGTGTCCTTCATCAGCCACATTTCGCGGATCCTTCCCGTGTTGGTGAGGGCACGCCAGATGAACCGCGGTGCGGATTTTCCAGGAAGGTTGTCAGCCTTCTTGGAGAAAATAGCATCAAGTGCCTTGTCTGCATGTCATATGCGGTTGCTACCTTGCCAAATGTGCAGTCCGACATACGGGAATGGGCTCCACGATGGCAAATGCGCACAATTGTAGTCGGGGCGTTTGTCAGTCAGTTCTTGACAGGTTTGGCAGGGCCCCAGTCCGGATTGTCCCAATCCAGAAAGGTATGACAGCTTCGACATTCTCTCTGATGAGGATGGCGCTTGCCAGGGATTCGCTGTAACTATGGAATCTTCCCTGACTACCACAGCATGAGCTGCCAGGAGGTTCGACAAGGACTCAAGGAGTACTCCAACTGGCCGACGTACCCACAGGCTGATGTCATCCGTTGTTTGCTTTGCTGGGCTGGTTTTGTGCATGCTCGAATGCTCGGACCAGAGAGAGTGTGAAGGTCTATGCTGGAGGGAAGTTGGTTGGTGGATTGGACATTCTGAAGGCAGCCAAGAGCAGGGCCGAGAGTCTGAGATGTCGGAGCCAGTCCATAAACATCGCACCAGGAACTCGCCGATGAAGGCTCTTTGCTGGAGGAGTTGGCGCCGTGAGAAGCGCAGCGCATGCGGATCAGCACAGACCCACAGAAACCTTCAAAGCCATGGCCGCCGTACGGCTTCAAAAAGAGGCTGTTTACCGTTGTCCATTGGATTGACTGCTTCCTTTGGCTTTCGCGGCAGATCGTGCCAACGGCCGTTGCATTGTCAGAGTCTGCGCTGCTGATTGAATGCGCAGCCACGAAGCTGCTTGCAATGTGAAGCTCATACTCACTTGATTCACCACCGACGAAGCGTCAGCTTTGCAACACGCCTGGTAATGTTATCCTCGTGTCGCGGCGGATGTTTCCGTATCTTTCATCCATCGTAACTAAGCTTCTGTGAGCCTGTGCCTATGCAACAGCCAGCAACACCAGGAAATCAGACTTACAAAGTATTGGCATTCTTTGCTGATTGTAGCATGCAGTTCCAGGCTGGGATTGTCGTACAGAGTCCGGTTCAGGGAGCACGGTATCTGGGCCAAGTTGTGGTAAGACTTTTGTCAGCTGCTCTCACACTCGTCGTGCCTGAAGGGGTTCAGCCCTGGCGTCAACAGTGGCCAGGACCTTAGACTGTCGGGACTGGCTCTGCGAAAGAAGTTGCACTCTCTCGACCCAGGCTGCGCTGGATGTGGGTGCAATGGAGCGTTTCCACCTGCGATGAGCAAAGCTGGCTCGTTTTTGACTGGTCTTGCAATACTTGCGATGGCCTGGGCTTGCTTAACGTTGAGCATGTACCGGTGTCTGCAGGTCCGCCCGTCAATGCTTGCGGCCCGGACTTTTGTCGTCCTGATCGAACGGTGAGTGATGGGTTGCAGCAGGTCCCTTCGGCTGCTGGCCTCGCACTGGCATAGGTAGTACGGTTCAAGGATGGTAGCATGCACGGGGTCGCCAGGCTGCTAGACTAGGTTACTGAATCTTGTTGACAAGTAGACCTCCGTTGGAACCAACCAGGAACATGCCGACAGCATCAACCGTTCAGAAGCGGGCTGCTTTCTTTCGATCGGCATGTGCATACTGATACGTGGCCCTGCACTGGAGGCCGGAGCTGGGGCATCTCCGCAGGCATCACAAGCTCCGCTCCTACGAATCCGGGCCGGCATCGAGGCACTTGTTGCACCATACCCGTTCAGCAAAACCTTTAGTGCAATGTGCCTCCTGTCTGGGGAATTCTGCAACCCTCAAGTCACCTGAAGCCTTCGAACCCAAACAGCCTGCAGTAAGCTGGTGGGGTACTGTACCTGACTGAAGCCTAACGACTGACAAGAGCCCTCGCAATGCCTTCAGAGGGCGAAGAACAAGTTCAAGCATGGCACTGTGATGGCAGACACAGGCTAGATAATATCGAGGTAAGTATGAGGCCAGCAACCTTTCGGAACAGAAAAACCGCCCGCATTACTTCCATTTTGGTTCGTGCTGGGCGACTGACCTCAGCACCTGCAGTATCTTGTTTGCCAGCAAGTCCGGTCTGCTGGGAGCAGACACGACCTCGAACATCCACTGGCAGCCCCCGCCCCCCGAAACGGACAGACCGACGGACAGACAGACAGACGGACAGATATTCGAACATTGAAGCTTTGCATAGTCTGTGCTCCAGTGATAATATCCCAGAGTTGCGTGACTATGTCACAATGACGGTGGGGATTGGCCTACGTGTCGAGAACAACTAATTACAGTAGCTGGAGGATTGATGTGACAGTCGAAGCTCCACTTCCTTGCCGAACTTGAATGCGAGCCAGGATCCGGCTCAAATGCTTGACGCGATAATTAGGCAACACCTCTCGTGGGGCGGCTTTACCCATACTGCGACAGTTCGTCAGACGCTCAAGTGTTTGCTGAACCAATTGACTTAGGCCTGAGAAGTTCGCGCACAGGATGCCGCTTTGCCACGGCGACGTCTCCACATGCACATGGTGGGAACTGGGTCACCATCGCGAAATTGCTGCACGCAGTACCGAACATCCCCTATGCACCACCTACCTACCGGAAGCCATTCCTTGTCAGAGGGAGCATACATGTGTCTGTGCGGCACCCTGCCTAGTCAACACCAAAGCTCCAGGATCATAGCCCCAAAACTCATCCTTACTAGTACTTGCACCCCACAGCAGATTGCGATCCTCAGCATCAAGCTTGTGCAAGCTACGAGAGTAGACCCAACCGGCAACAATTGCTGTCCAGTGGCACCAACAGAATCACGCCACAAATCAGGCGTCAGCTTAACGACCTGATCAGGCTTGTACAACTGAACCTTCCCACCCACCTGCTTCCCTTTCGGCGTCTGCTTGACTGCCCGATCATCAGACTCAGCTTGAGGTCTTGCTTCAAAAGTGCAGGCCTCGAAAGGCACATCATGAGTTGAAAGAACACGACCCCGGAGGCCCAACAGAGAGTTGCAGCAGAGACTTTGCAGAGGCACTTTAGTTTAGAACTTCACAGGCCCACATGTTTCACACAAAAGAGCTTACCGCCAACAGTAATTGGCTCAAGGGGAAAAGCATGGCGCTTGTACTAGATGCTTTGGTACTTTAGGGGTTCGGCCGGGTTTAAGTACCTTCCTTCCCTTTTGATTGGTTATCAGCCGTAGCTCTTTTCCCCCTTCCCGTTCCCCAACTTAAACCCGGCAGCCTAGGGTGGTGGGTGAACACAGCGAGCCATATAACCTTGCCGCTTGCGTGCCGCCTTAGGCAGGGTGGATGCTACCCAAGGATACGGAGGATCGCGGGCAGGCTATAATGCGAGAAAGCGGGACTTTTACCAGGCCCAAGACATGCTGCAGGACGTTGCTCACAAGAAGCTGCGGATCAAGCTCAAGCAGAGGGCCTGCGACGATCTGAGCCAAGAGCGTATAGCCGCCGTGTTGGAGTTTGCTGTTCTGGAGGAACGAACGACATTTGGCGAAGCGTGGCTGAGTTATATCAGGAGCTGGCTGTTGCGATTGGGCGTGCAGTGGAGTCCGCCGAGGAAGCGGCTCGCGCACCAGATCCAGGACAGGGTGCTGCGTCCGCTTCCTGGGCAGAGCCAGCCAGCACCTTCAACAGCAGTGGCCGAGCCACCGAGGAGAGAGAGGCCAAAGTCAGCGGGTGCAGAAGGCGCAGCAAGGGTACCTCCTTTGCAGCAGGAGCTGTACTTCCCAAAGCGCCAAACCCGCTGCGAAGGCGCAACCTGCGAGCTGCAGCCACCACTGTCACAGGTGCTGTGCAGGCAGCAACACCAGCTTTGCCTTGGCCGTCGCAACCAAGCAGCTCTGCTACCACAGCTGCCATTCCCCAAGTGTTTGACCAGAGCAACAGAGCTACCGCTGCCTTGCCGCTTCCTCCGGCAAACCCACCTCTTGAAGCCACGACCGCACAGGATCCAGGTCGCACGAAGACCACTGCCAAGGAAGAGCCGTCCCAGCAGGACACATACTGCTCAAGTTTTCCTTCCAGCTCGTTATGCGCATAGAGGAAATAGGTGATTCCCAGTTCTTCTGCTGCATGCTTTCACCCTGCAAGGACGGCACCAAGACTCCGGAGCAGTACGAAGAGGAGCATTTCCAGAAGCTCGTGGAGGCCAAGGCCAAGAAGAACCAGGCCAAAAACGCCAAGGAGGCGGACCAACAGCCGAAAAAGCAGACGAAGCGGCCGGCTGCGGCCATGTCCAGCCGACAAAGCTCGGCGGCCCAAGGCACCCATTGCGACAGCCAGGTAGCCAAAGGCGCGGCCAAGGATGCCCAAGGCTGCGCCAAGGATGCCAACGGCACCATCCTGTACGCAACGCTAAGGGGTGTTCCAATTGTGTTGACCCCAACTTTCGGGGCCTCCGCCGTCGTCCAGGTCGCCAGGCATGGAGGGAGTACATCGAGGCCCAAGAGAAAAAGAAGGCCATGGCCAAGAGGCCAAGAAGGGCCAGAAGAAGGCCGCCAAGAAGTAGTGCCAGGCATGGTGCCAGTTTCTCAAGGGCCCAGGTGCGGGTTGGCAAGAAGGCAGAACAGCCCATGCGTGCACCATGGCGACGCGAGGAAAAAGAGCGCCTGCATGTGTAATTTGCTTCCAAAAGCCATCCCATGGCCATCGTTCTATGTATAGGTGATCTCCATAGAAAGCCACCCATGGCTATCCCATGCACATGCACTTCCCATTGCGTGTGTTGACGCACTTCAGCTGCCAGTGCTTCAAGGAGGCAGGTTCAAGCATCTTGCCATCGCTTGTCATGACTTAAAAAGAGGTCCAGTTCATGGGACATGCAAAGCTTAGACCTGCAGCCTTCATCCGTAGACCGCCATAGATAGCATTGATTCCCATGTGAAGCATGGTATATTGGCACTGCCCTTGCCCCCAAACCCACTGTCAGCTATCTGTGGCCACGGAGCCTTCACAGAAGAAAAGCAAATTGCAGCAGCTGCTGACCTTCAAAGCCAGTTTGCCAGCACACTCCCAGAGTGCACTTGCTTCTTTTGTCCAGGCTGTCAAAGAGCATGGCCTGCCAGAAGCCAGTTCCTCCAACGACCAGCGAAAGGCCAGAGAAGAACTCCCAAACAGCAGCTACGGTGGTCCACGAGAGCCATTGATCCAAGAAGCAAAACTGACCACCTGTGATGGTGCCCGGGTGGCAGCTTCCACGATCTGCCTCAGAGAAACACCAGTCCGATCCATCTTCCGTCCACAGACCCTGGAACCTTATCAATCTTATATTCCGATGAGGTGGTGCCGGGTAACGTTTTAAGACGTGCCGAGCGCAATTTCTGGGTCGTTTACGGGACGTTCCAGGAGCTCGTGAGCAAACTCCAATGAGGTGTCTGCCAGATCATGTCCAATGGGGGATTTGCTTGGCAGATGGTGCTGCTCACAAGGTCATATGGTCCAGTAAGGGGATGCACGCACCAATTACTGCATCTTGTGTGCCAACGTGCAAGAGGACCAGGATGTTATTGACCACTACACCAAGTACAACGAGCTGAAGCTGACCACCGACGAGGAGGTTCTCCAGTCTTCGAGCGGTTAGACCAGAGGCAAAAGACTGCCGCCACGAAGTGGAGTTCAATCATTGGCTGGACATGGAATGCCCATGCCCTCCTTTTGCGCCAGCCAAGGTTGTAAAATGGCCAGATCCGACCAGTAAGCCAGTTTTGCCACGATTGCTTGCATGGGATCTTGCAAGGCACTGCCCCAGTGGTCCCCTTCCAGACCATGCACAGCATTGGCGGTTGGGGGGTTCGATGCTTGCGGTTCCATTCATCGATATGTCCAGCTCTGGTCTCTTCCAGGGGCTTGGAAAGGAGGCCGCCTACCCGATGTGTTCTCCACCAAGATGGTGACGAAGCAGCAGGCAAGCGTGGTGATTCCAGCAGCCAGCTGCCCACAGGCCATGGTGCACCAAGGCATGTATGGGGCCACAACCACGGCCAGCTTGCTGGCAGCTGCGGAGAACGCCATTCAGAGCTTCCAGGAGGCCAACTTCGGCGTCCCATTGATGAAAAAATAGCACTGCCTATTCCACATGCAAGACTTCTTACGACACTTGCAGAGCACGGTTTGCCGAAATTGTTCGAGCTGACAAGGAAGAGGCTGCTGCAAAGAGGGCTGCACTATGCGCTCTTGGCGAGTTACCTGAGACTCCCCCGCCGAGTCCGTTCCCAGAAGCCGCTGCTGAGACGCCAGCTCCCAGCGTAGCACCAGATGTTGGTGTACCCCTTCCAGTGGTTGAGGTCCCGGAAGAGGCGCCGCCACTTGCAACTACAGCGAGCATCGTTTCGCCTTTCAGGGACTTACGTGCAACCATGATCCTAGTGAGCGCATTCAGGCTCGAGGCAAGGATGTCGAACTCACTGGGTTGTACACGCAAGAGATGTGTGAGCGCGTCGCCTTCGCCATCAAATCCAGTAGGGCTTTTATCTCGGTGCTTGCAATGCCTACCATTCCTGTCACGTCGTCACAAGACCACCGCAACAAAGAACAGGAGCTCAAGCACGTTTCCGCTTTGAGTGGTAAAATGAAGACCTTGCTGCCGTAGTAGAGTCTGACGAGGAGGCCTCCAGGCTTGTGGAAGAAGTTGTAGGCCTTAACGCCCTAATGTGTGCTGTTCACGACACACCTACAGGTGCTCCCGCAAAGGAAGTTTCACCTATGGTCTTTCTCCCGAGCTGAGATGCTCACCTCACCTGAGGCTCTTGAAGCCGTGGGGCAAGAGGCCGACGGTCGACGTGCTGTTCCTGTTCGGGACGAAACAAACTCAAAAGAGTACGCTAACGTCCAAGGGCAAGCTCGTCGCACAATAAGGTTCACTTTGGGAAGCTAGTGACAATTGCATCCATCAAGTTTTGGGAGCTTGCCAAGCATTTGCAGAAGGTCAAGGGCCGAATAATTTACCGAGGCGAGAAGAGGGCGCGGCAGCAGTTTACAGGGAGTTACCTGCTAACCCTACCTTTTTTTCAGGGACTTAGTGCCTGCTTAGCTTACGGTAGCTTGCCTGCCAATCAGTCTAGTGCCGCAGACGCTGTCAAAGCGTACGTGCAAGCTCTTCTCAAGTCCAAGTACCAAACTTGGATAGAGCTGCCGCCGGAGCTCCGACCTGCCTGTTGGCGCGAGTGCTTCGCACGTCCAGTGAGGCTGCTTTTACGCGCACTGTACGGACACCCAGAAGCAGGCGGACTTTGGAAGAAACACCTTAAAATTGTAAGGGTTCTTAGGAACATGGGTGGACAAGATCTGCCGGAATATCCGGGTAGCTTATGGTTCCCCGAGACTAAGCTTCTTCTTTCCATTCATGTAGATGATCTTACCCTCGCAGGAGGAGCATCAGCCCTTTGAGGATGCCTTATGTAAGGTTGCCGACGTAGAAACCTTGCAGAGCCGGTGTACAAGATCTTAGGCCGCAATCCTTGCATTATCAACGGCGCATTGCGGGGTGCCATGGCATTTGACATGTATGAATACGCACAGCAGGCGGAAGACCTGTGTAAACGCGTTACCGGCCTTACGGCTCTGAGGCATGCTGCGACCCCATTGGCTCCTGAGAGCTCCTTTCCTCCGAGCCAAGAGGAAGTGGCAGGGGAACTCGCACCGAACGCATGCAAGGTGTTGATGCAAGCCCTGTGGCTGGGCAGACTGTGGTCAAACCGGTCTGTGACCTCGCGACCAAGGTGCAGAAGTGGTCTAGGAACGATGACAAGAAGCTGCTTCGATCGATCAGCTACATCGATTCCACAAAGACCCATCGGTGTAGGCACCGTGTCGGACGGGCCGAGCTTCGCCGACTTTGCAGGGAAGAAGGGCGGAGGTTTCCTAGTTGTTACGGGCCGTAAGCCTAAGACCATTTGTCCCGTAGCATGGGATTCTAAGCGCCAGACGCCAGTAAGTTGCAGTAGCACTGAGTCAGAGATTGTGTCCCTAGCTCATAGCCTCTTCCAGGAAGCACTTCCTGCATTGCAGCTCTTGCAGACGATCCTCGACTATGCAAGTCGGTTAGTCATCCACGAGGACAACCAGGCTACGGTCTTAGTTGCTCAGAAGAGCTGTTCGCCAAAGCTTAGGCACATAGCGCGCACCCATAAGGTCAACTTGGGTTCTAGTAATAGAAGAGGACGATGTATATTATAGATATTGAATACGTGGAAACCAGCTCGCAAGCTGCCGACATCTTTACGAAGGTGCTCCCACCACGAAAGTGGGACATCGCCCTTCGGTTGTCAGGCATGCGTCAGAACGTCCGGAGAGTGGCCCTACCACGTCCTACATACACCTCAGGTTCTAGTCTAAAGTAAAGGCGTCCACTTACGCACCAGCTCTGTTAGAGGGAGCAGCTTTAAGCGCTGTTCCTGCTCAGGGGGGCTGCCTTAGGCGCCCATGTGTATCGGAGGTTGCCTTTAGCGCCTCATGCATGTACAATTCCAAGTAGCTTGCAATCTCTGTAGCTGTAGCTGACTCTGGCGAGGGGGGAATTAAAAGAACACGACCCCAGAGGCCCAACAGAGAGTGCAGCAGAGACTTTGCAGAGGTACTGTAGTTTAGAGCTTCAGAGGCCAACATGTTTCACACAAAACAGCTTACCGCCAAGAGTAATAGGCTCAAGGGAAAAAGCGGGGCGCTTGATCAGATGCCCTGGTTCTTTAGGGGTTCGGCCGGGGTTAAGTACCTTCCTTCCCGATTGATTTCATGGTCACACATTTCCTGCACCACACAACAAGGTCGTGTCTTCCTGGTGGCAAAAGAACGAAGGCTGATTGGGCGCCGCATGTGGGAACTGAATACTGAAATGACTAATAGTTCAGTCATGAAGGTGTCGGCATGCACATGGTTATTGGCCCACGGCAGCCATGGGCCCACGCAACCAAAGTACGAGCAAAGACAGGTCCAATACGGACTATTCTCCAAGAGGTCATCGTCAGTCAACGCGATATGTCAGAAGAACCCCGATGGCACATTCAGGACAGAGATGTCGAACCACCTTCAAGAAGCGATATGCGTTTGCTTAGCACGTGTATACTCAGCACATGGAAAACGTGGGCTTTGGTTTTGACGAAGTCAACTGACCCTGGTGGTCGGTCTACAAGTAGAGCGGCAACAGCTGCCCAAAGATCTATGTGATTCATGGCAGGCGGTGCGCGTTTGACTTGCAGACCCTCCAATCTGACACGGGCAGCATCGACGCCAAATGCGAACGGACTGCGATGCCTTGTCAAGTTCTAAGGTGTCACTATAAGAGCTGTGAGCAAGACCGTGTAGAGTGCAAGAGAAGGGGGCACGCTACGCGTCCCTCGACTCTAGGAGTGAGCTTGTGGACGTGCTACGCACACCGCATCGCTTCTCCTTACCTTTCTATGTGACCGCCCACGCAACGTTTGGCTCAAGTCAATGCCCATAGCTAAGTGCTATATGTGTCTTCTATCCTGAGCAATCAGAGCTATCCCGTGCACAGACGAACCGCCGCCGGCAGCGAGTGCAAAAGGAACGGCCGCCGGTTCTGCCTGCATAGGATTGCACGTGTGGAAGTGTGAGAGAGACAGGGTCCCAGTCTGTGGAGAGTGCAAGCCAGCCACACCTATATTCATTACAGCTCTGGTGGGGAGAGCAGCAACATAATCGAGATCAAATCCCCACGCAGGTTATCAGCCGTACGCGGCTCTGCCTTTCTGCAGCAACGACTACTTGATCTACTACGACCACAATGAACTCGGGCTCAAGCCAAGATACGACAATGACTTTCGGTGCCGATGTGGCAGCGCCAGCCGTTGGTGAGTCAACAGCTGATGACACAGTGGTGCAATCTGTTGATAGCTCCACGGAAGATGACAAAGGTCAATCTTCTGCGCTTGCCATTGCAAAGGCAGTTCCCAAAGTGAAAGCAAAGAGTCTACCAAGAGCATCTACGCCTTCGCGTCCGACATCCACAGGTTCGAGGACGGGCAAGGCTCCAGAACGACGAGCCGAAGCGTCTGGTTTTCAGGCACCTCGGACTACGTCCAGGGCCAAGGACAAGGGAGTGAAGACCTTGGAAAAGAAGTCGAGACCATCATCTTCGAGAAGCTCTTCAGCACGATCAAGGACTTCGGCTACTCGTGGGCGTGACAAGTCCATGACTTGGAATCGGATGGTTACCAATCAACCACGCGATGCTGACGATCTGGATATGACTCTGGACACTATTCCTGCACGTGGTGATGCGTCATCGGTGACCACGCCAGCCATAGCCGATGGTCCGAATGCCTATCAGGAACTGACGATTTCGCAACAGTTCGAAGCATCGAACCTTGCGCAGCAGATGTACTATCGCAGTCAGATGCAAGAGTACGAAGGAGTTGTCCAGACCCTGATGGATAAGATCAAGGAGATGCAACAAGAAGATGAAGGATCTGGGATTCGCATCGAAGAATTGGAACGACAACGTGACCATGCATGCTTAGCCATGAGGCACATCAACAATGTCAATCAGGAGATGAAGCGAGACTATGAAGCAGCTTTGTTTCGCATGGATGAACAGAACTCTGCTCAACAACGTCAAGCACACGCCGTTGCCGAGGAATTGGCTCAGCAGCTACATGTGTTTCGCACGGAAGCAGCCACTAACTTTGTGCAGTTGGAGGCAAGAGCGCAAGGCGATGGTGAGCTTATGGCACGTGAGTATGAGCATCTGACTCATGAACTTCATGAACAAGCCAGAGAGAACTTGTTCCTCCGGTCGAACACAGCAAGTTCGGAACAAGCCTTACAAGCAATGCAGGAACGATTCCACCTGGTCAAGAATCAGGAGTTGCGGGCCGTGAACGAGATCCAAGGGCTAGCTGGGAACAGCGCAGCCATTGATCAAGAACGACTTCGGCTTCGCGAACGTCTTGGTGAAGAGGAAGAGTACCGCAAAATGGCTGTGAGGAGGATGCAAGATGCAGAGGACCGACTTCATCAGAATGAAGATCATGCAAGGCGCGCATTGCCTACCTTGCACGACGAGCTGAGTGAACTCAGGAAAACACTCAAAGCACAAGAAGA